AGTATTTATTGATTTTCAGCCCCCAAGTGACTGTGTGTCGGGCCCAATAAACACGCAGACAACAGGTTCGAAATACAAGCAAGGTTTACTTGTGTGTAATAACTAACAGAACTCACAAAGATGGCAGCCCTGTCCCAGAATCCCATCTGTTGCTAAGTAACCCAACTGATGGCGGGAATATGGCCATGCAAAGTACGGTATATGTTTATACTATTAATGCTCAGACACAACAGATACGTAACGTGGTCTGTATTTTGGTTATTGTCAATAGGATGAAAAGCGCCCTGAAGATCGACTAATGCACTTTTTAGCGGTGTCGGGTGTTTTTTGATGTGCGCCACCACACTGTCATTTTGAAAAATCTGGTTCCGTGTGTCGTAAAGTGAGCCAAATCTAGCCACAGTAGGATTTTTTGAATTATACTGTTATTTATTGTACAATCTAATTTTAACGCAGTTAAATATTGCTACCTAGCCATAGCTAACTATTTATTTCCGAATGGCGCCCAGAGAATCTTCCCCAAAATGAACGTCGTTAAATTGAAACCGTTTTGCGACACCAATCAGCTGGCGCAACAACGTGCTTTCAGGGTTTCCGGAAATAACAAATTTTCACGTAAATACGGCGTGCTCTGTGGACAACCAAAACACAGCAAAGATGCCAGCGGGAGGAAAGATCAATCGTCCAAGGAAGGTAAATATTTACGTTTATATGCCTCTTGTTTAAAGAGTTCTTGTTGTTGCGTCGGGAATTTGGTGTTGTTTAACTTTGTCAATGATGCAAATTGTCATGCTGTACCGCGACGTATCACAGTAGCAGGGAGTTGTAGTAGATAAAATATGTTCCACTACAACTATGAACCCGACCGGGCTACGAATTGTTTCGCGATATACTAGGTATGCGCACAAACTGCAGAGTAATGTTTATTTTTGAGAATCAAATATGATTTTCAACATTTCCCCTGGACTTGAATAACGGTGTACGTCACAAACTGAATGTAAAACACATATACAATGGACTACAAATAAATTGGTTGTTGCTGTACCACAACTTCATGTCACAAAGCTCCACGTTACTGGGTCTTCTAGACGCCCAGTTTATAGTGTTATTCGGTACTGAA